CGGCCAGACATCCGAGAGGATGTTAGGAGGGGATGTCCAGGGGGACAACCAGTAGACTCAAAAAATTCAAAAACTGTACGAAAATGTGAGAGCTTTCTGTTGGAAGTTTGTTTTGGAATGAGGTCTACCAAACGTGAAATAAAAATATATTTTGAAATGTGTTGTGGAATTAATTTTTGAAAACCCCATCCAAACGCTTTGTTTACGTGAAGGGGTGGAATTGTGATTAGAAATCTGTATCAAACACAGCCATAATTTTTTTTAAGAATTTATATTTTTTTTTGGACATCCATTGGACAGTAATTACCTCAACATTTTAAACAAAAAATTATAAAATTAATTATTTATATATATTTTTCTTAAAAAAAATTAAAAAATCACTAAAAAATTAATTTTCAAATCAACCCTTAGCATGTATTCAAATGTTAATTATTTACAAACTCCCTTAGCTATTGCTTGTTGTAATAACTTTTCACCCATTTTCATTCCCGTCAATTTTTATTTACTTATTTATTTCCCCGAACCTATCATTCATCTGGATGTTGAATAATTTTGAAATTTACAAGTTTTCTAAATTATATGGCTGCTGCTTTATTGACTGGTAAACCAAAGAAGCTGCTTTATTGACTACTAGTGAGAATTTACAAGATTCTCACTACTCTTTCAAAAGTGATTATAATTAAGTTGAAGAATGATATTTGCATGAAGTCACTGAACCTCTCACATGAAGTCACTTTCTTGTAATTTAAGAAAAGTGTTTAATTTATGCTTGGTTATCATTTTTCAAAAATATTTTTTCAAAAAATTTTACTTTTTTATTTTTCGTGTTTTTTGGTTTTTACTGAATTTTTTAAATATTTTGAGCAATTTTTTTAATTTTTAGACATACCTAACATAAATATATCTAAAAAGTAAAAAAAAAATTGAAAAAAACCTTTTAAAAATTCACTAAATATCAAAAAAAAAAAAAAGAGAATAAGAGAATTCAGTACATTTTTTATATTTTTATGTATTTATTAATTTTTAAAAATATTTTTTCACAAATTTTTTACTTTTTAAATACATCTAAGTAAGGTGCATCTAAAAAAGTAAAAAAAATGTTTAAAATTTTAAAAATATTCACTAAAAACAAAAAAATACGAAAACAAAAAAACTCAATTTTCAAAAAATTCAAACCACACTGTTTGTTTGTTTGTTTGTTTTTTTTTGTTTTTTTTTTTTTTTTTTTTTTAAACTCGTGTTTAATTATTGTTTGAAAAACAAAAAGTGATATTGATATGTTCAAGTAGATATGAAACTACTTCTCACTCATCATGAGATGTGAGTGGGAAGTTAAGAATTATTAATATTTTATTAGTTTTAATAAGGGTTCTTCTATGGTGAGCATATTTGTAACAGTGTATGCCATATACATTTCTATTACAAAATGTCTAACTAAATTATAAAATTTTGTAATATTAATTACAAAATATATAATCTCGCCACAAATTAGTGTTACAAAAAATGTCATAATTAAGTCACAAACTTTTGTTATATTAATCAAAAAATTATGAATATTTTGTTTTATCAATTTGTGGCGAAATTATGTATTTTATGGCTAATATTAAGTAATTTTGTGATAAGATACATATGGTATGCACCCACAAAGAGTGCAACCTATAGCATTGTCCTTTAATAAGATGAGAAAAGTACTTGTAAATTTATAAAAAGTGTTTAAAAATATATGAAAAATTTTCAAGATCCGTTGTGCTTTTGTATCTTGTTAACCTTAATAATAATCTAATGAGTTGTTGTTAACTTAAATTATTAGAATTTAGAGTAATGATATATAATGATATACAAACATAAAATTTATATAGAATTTTTATACATAATGATGTGAATTAATTGTGACCTTTCACTTTAAAACAAAACATCCATAAAGATAACTTACATTTATAACAATGTCATTGCGATATCATTCTTATGATATTTTTTGTATGAATTTTTTATATGAAAAATATTTTTCAAATTATTAATATGAGCTCAATGGTGAACACATTTGTTCTATCTTACGCATTCATCAATTAATTAAAATTCATTTGTGGTTGATCATGAGAATGACCCTATATAATTTTGAGGTGAAGGAAATGCCATATGACAATACCATTTACAACTGAACTAGCAAATACACATATCCACTAACATTTGTGATTTGTCAAAAAAATCAACAATGAACCATGTGGGAAGCTTATGTACAAAAGGAATCAAAATTTATTTAGGCGATTTTGGAAGGTTAGTTAAAAATTAATTTTTAACTTTTAATTTATTTTGAATCACATTACTTCTTATATTTTTTACATATAAAAAGTAAAAAATTTTAAAAAATTAACTTTTAACCAATTTTCTAAGACACGCTTACGCTGTGTTTGGTTGGGGGTTTTGGGAAGGGAAATGGAAAGGGAAATGGAAATAAAAGGAAAATGAGAAAGAATTAATAGAATTCCAAATCCCAACTATGTTTGGTTGTGTTGGTTATAAAATAGAATTGATGTCCTAAAATGTATCCTATTTCTTTATTTATTTCTCACCTCCTTTCTTTTTCCATATATTTTTTATTATAACCAAACATAAATAAGATTACATTTCTCATTCCTTTTCCAAATCCTACCTCAAAAACTCCAACCAAACACAGCATTAATGATCACCAAACACCATACTCCATGTTGTTCTTTCATAATTCAACACTGAGCGTCATCCCCAACATAATTCACAACTCCTCAAGGCCATCAAATAACTTCCAAAAATATACATATATGATCTGATCGGACAGTAGTGAATCAATCAATATCACAACTGCTCCAACCAAGCTGGCCTATACGCGTGCAAGTTTTGTGGGTCCTCTTGTGTACCCTAGTCGTCTTCCCTCCCCACTTTCTTTTATTTATAGGGAAAATAACTGTACTGTGTACAATGAAAAAAAATTATAAAAAAATATAAAAACAAATTTGTAATTGTTAAAATGTATAAATTTTATCATTAATCTATATATTTTTTTGGAAAAATTACATATAGATGGAAGTTGAAAAAAAATTTATCAAAATGTGAAAAGTTGCACTCTCACAACCTTTTATTTACACCCTATCACAAATATACTTATATCCCTACATATTTATAAATTTTTTTTCCTAATTCTCACCTACATATAAGGGCGTTTTGGCAAGCTGGTAAAAAGTCAATTTTTAATTTTTTTACTTTTTTGATCACATCATCTGTTTATTTTTTTTACATTAAAAAAGTCAAAAAATTACAAAAAAACCAAAAAATTTCAAACTATGATTCCATGGCATGGTTTCAGTATGGTGTTTGTTTAGAGTTTTTAAAAGTTAATTCTACACCCACTTTGGAAAATTCTTTCCAAGGTAGGAAATTTTGGGCGAATTGGTTGTCCTTCCAGACATCCGGCCGGTTGACCGGTACAATGTAATATTTTTTTTTTAAATTAGCACATGTTATTTTTTATATTTTAAATAAAAAAATTTGAAATTTTTTATGAGTTTTAAATAGAATTTTGAGTTGTGTGTTTTGTTATGAGTTGTAAATTTTTGTATCAAATATCATATGTCACATCAAAATTTCTCCACTCAATTCAAAATTCTTTTCAAAACTCATTTACCAAACAAATTTTTCACATTCAAATCATAATTTCAAAACTCACAAACTCAAAATGCAACTTTATTCTCAAATCATATTTAAAAAATTATACCAAACGCTACTTAACTTTTTATCATCTTTTCAAAACACCACATATAATTCATCATATTTTTTTTCTAGGTCCAGCTTGTCTCAAGTTGAGATCAAGACTAGACCCGTCCAGTTTGGCCTATGGAGCCCATTTTTGAGCCCGTTTTGATAATCCGAACTGTTCAATGTATAGAACTAGTTGAGTACTACATGCTTATAAAAAATCACGTTGATCGGATATCAATAGCTATGTGATCAAATTAGTTTTGTATAAAAAAAAAATGGACGGTGAAACAATTAACGGTTGATAAAAAACTATTTTGTTCATATAGCTATCGATATCCGATCAACGTGATTTTTTACAGACATATAGTACTTGACGAGTTCTACACATTGAACGGTTCGAATTATCAGAACGGGACCCGTGGTGAACCCCCACGGACCCAACAACACATTCCAGTCCGATCTTGGACTGGACCAAAGCCACTGCCTTTTTTTCTGCCTCCACTAGGGCAGTAATTCCCCTTATTTGTATATGGAAGAAACATGGACCATCACCCATGCATATCTCCAATTTTTTTTTGTTTGAACAACCATACATATCTCCAATTGATGATTACAAGATTGTAGAGAGAGAGAGAGAGAGATCAGGGAAGGGGAGTGAAGTTAATGCAACAATGAGTAAAGGCGGCGGCAACCGATCTGGAGAGAAAGCAGTGCGGCGGGGCACGGTGGTGCCGCCGAGTAGAGGGGCGGTGCTGAAGAGAATCACTAGAGACTTTTCTGAAGCTCTAACTCTCCCACAAGACGACTCTTCTGGAGATGGCGGAGCTAATCACCAACAACTCCTCCAACTCCAGCCCAGCCAGAGACCCATCGTGCCTCCCAAGAGAGGTGATGTGTTCAGGCGAATCCTTGCTGGCAACTAGTTTGATTTCATTCAGGCCACTTCTCCACTACTAGTAGTCTTTTTTTACCGAGTATTTTAATTTCTTTGTTTTGGGTATTGTTGTGTTGTTCTTTTCCTTTCTCCAACCTGAATTGTAGTGGTGAAAGATTTTCTGTTCTCAAATGTTTGTTATTTGTCCTTAAAAGCACTCATAATTAGTGGATTACAAGAGAATCTCAGGTGTATGAGAATCTCAAAACATATCCACAGTGTTTTGGAAGATAAGAGAGAGAGAAAGACAGACAGAGAATCTCAGGTATAGTATCGATCTGGTAGGGAAGTTGTGCCAAAAAGGATGAATTTTATAAATGTTGCATAAATCTAGCTATCAGTCTCTTGCCCTGATATGAAAAGCTTAATTGTAGTAGTTGAGTGATATATTTGGTCTTTAATTTTAAAGGCAAATTACCTTTGTAGCTATTGTAATTTCACTCTTATGTTAACAATTTGGTCATTTAGTTCTATTTTCATCCCAAAAAAAAAAAAAAAATCTGAATTTCTTACCATTTAGAATTTAATGCAATTGATTATGCCTTTTTTAGAAATTGGGTTGAGATGAAATTGGGTGGTGTTGGAAAAATGGTATTTTATATGGCTTATTTTGGGCCAAATTTGAGTGGGCCCCAAATGTTGTTTGGGGTGAGTCCGAAGAGGTGACGTGTTCCTTGCCGCGTGGCAAGTCACACGGTGAAGACGGAACGTCAAAAACCATTTATGAGTGAATGGAAAGTTGACGTCGTTTTCGGGTCTAACATTAATTTTTTAGATAAAAAAATTCATTTGAATTTTTTCAATAAAAAATTATTGTAGAAATTTAATTTAATTCTAAATTCAAATTTTGGGTTCCTAAGTGGTTTCCTAAAATTTGTAATTGTGAGAATTTAATTTAATTCTAAATTCAAATATTAAGTTCCTAAAAATGTTTCCTAAAGTTTGTACCTCTTCATTTATTTATTTATTTAACTATTTCAATAGTTTAATATATATATATATATATTTATTTAATTAAGTTTAATATATATATATTTGAAATAGTTTAAATAATAAATTACCTACAGATTTGAAACATTCTCTAACAGAACACCTTTTCAAATATTTGAATTTGAGATCAAACGGTCAACTTTATTTGAATTGAAATAATGCACCTTTTCACTTCTTTAAATTAATACCTGTTCGGAACTGTTTGCTGCCTATAAATACCATCAATTCTAGCAGGTTTGGTATCGAATTTTCAAATCCGAAAAATTCAGTGAAGTGGTCTCATTGCTGTCCAATTTTTCTCAAAGTGCATTTATTCTTCATATTTAGTTTTAGAATAAATTAAAGAGAGTATAGATCACAAGGTTTGGTTCGCCGTACAATTTTGTTTGGTGTGCTACAATAATTTTGTGAAAATCATTGTATCCTGGGAGATAGACGCTACTTAACCATAAGCACCGTTGCGGGGCGAATCTGTCTTAAGGACAGAGTGTCACATACTCGACTTGGTCTTAATTTTAATTCGGTTTGATAAATAAATCTGGTATATTATTCATTTATTTTGTTTGAATTTATTTCAAATTATTTTATTTACACAGAAGATTGTTTCAACAACCGACAAATTTTTCAACAACTTCTATGGCATTAACTAATTTTTTATGAGATGCTGGTAGCGGTGGTTGACAGTAGTCGACCGTGGCGATGTAATGCTATATATTTATCATATTAGACTTACAATCTCCTATGTTATTATTATATTGATTTAATGAATCTATCACTAACACTTCATATTTTACACCTGATATCATCATCTAATCATAAATTATTGGAGGTGTTTGTTTCAACTTTTCATAGTCAATTTATAGCTTTTAGTTTCGAAAAAGTTATTTTGGACTGCTTGGTTAAACTTATTTCAAACAGCTTCTGATTCTAACAGCTTATTTTAACTCAAAAAAGCTGATTCTGAGAAGCTGCTCACCTCTTGCTTCTGATTATCAGCTGGACATGTTAATTTATGGTTATGCTCTTAAATTTTTTTATTTTTTATTTTTTTAAAAAATAGAAAAAGACTCAAATGGACTATAGATTATTATTATTATTTTTTATGAGAAATGTAGACAAACAAAAAATAAAAATTAATTGAAAAAGCTATTTCACAGCTTATTTAACAAACATTACTCAACAACTTAAATCTATAATCCAATAGCTACACCAAACAGATTAACAACTTCTGATTAAAGTCATAATCTATAATCTGTTAAGCTATAATCTATAAACTGTTTTAACAGGTACACCAAACAGGGCCATTGTTAACCATTTCATCAAACTACATTTGTATCTATAAAAAATGAATAGCAAATTTAATTTGAAATATAAAACTAAACACAAATACGATTCAATGAAGGGTTATTTATATTTGTGTACGGGGAAGAAATAATTCTCCTCGTATAATCCCGTTGACCAAGTCCACGCTCCTCCGTACGACGTCGCTTTGTTACCTGAAAACACAAACGTGAGCTAGCCGGCGGGTGTGTGCCGGAAACCTCTCCGATGCCTAAGTCAGAAAACTTGACAAATAGACAAAGCTCTAAGTTCTCAGAAAGATTGTGTTCAATTACCTCCTCCAAGGTGATGCTTGTTGAGCTTTTATAAGTTTCATATGGCACAATCCTAGTAGGAATTGTATTTCTCCATGCAGAGTCCTCCTAGGATTCATTCTCCTAATGGCCTTTGGCACCCTTTAACACCCCCCAC